AAAAAAAAAAAAAAAAAAAGAAAAAAAGAGAAAAAAAAAATCACATGCGCGACTCCGTTTTCTCTACTAGCTTTCCAAGCGCGGGACTCGCGGGATGAAAATTAAAATCGACAGATACTTACGCCAGCTTTAATCGTGACGGCCTAATCGAGCGCGGCGTGAAACATAAATCACATTCGTTAGTCGAAACGATCTATGAAACTACTTCTATTCCCGCCAGTTATACCAGTTGCCGTTCGTATTCCGCCGATCAATCAACCTCGTTTTCGATCGACGTCGGAACGACAACGTGTATCTCTCTGTCTACGCGTCCGTTACGCGTATCGATCGAATCGATCGGTGGTCAGAGGGACCGAAAGGAACTCACCTCCAGTGAATTGAAAAGATAATAGAAGCACCAGGTAATGATGACGTTGTAATAAAGTGCTACGAAGAAGGTGACGATGCACGATGCTATCCCTATACCGCCTAACCATGGATGTATCGTGTTCCATACACCAAGGGCGCCCTGTCGCATACGTTGACCGAGACCCAGCTCGATTAAAAAGAGGGGTACACCCTCTAGGATTAGCATCACGAAAAAGGGGATGAGAAAGGCACCTGAAAACCGTTTTTTCGCACATAACACATTTCTATTTCTCCCTGCCCTATTTCGTTCTCTTCCTTCTTTCCTTTCTTTTTTTTTTTTTTTTTTTTTTTTTTTTTTTTTTTATCTCTTCGCTTTCTAACAACAAATGGTATCCGTATTTCCTCCCTATTATTCTTTCTCCACTACTGTAAAATAATATCGCTCGTTAGCCCCCCCTTCCCCGCCACCTCTCTTGTTCCCTCTCACCCCTTATTACGAAATGAATGCCTGTAACCGGTCTCTTTTAATCTTTTCCCATTTGGCAACGGCTCGCCTGCGTGTCCCTGCTCACAGAATATTCTCCGTTCCCCCCCCCCTTTTTTTTTTCACGGTAGTCTAGTTTGAGACGGCCGCAGCCGGAGTGTCTGGTTCGGTATTGATCGAATGACGCGTACATACGTACGTAGTACGGTACATACCTAGATTATTACCTTGCACCTTTGATTTCGTTTCGTACATTCCTTTCTTCTCGTTTCTTTTTTTTTTTTTTTTTTTTTTTTTTTTCCTTTTTTTTTTTTTCCCCTTTTTTTCTCCTTTTTTTCCTTTTTTTTTTTTTTTTTTTTTTTTTTTTTTTCCCTTTTCTTCCTTTTCCCTCTCTTTTCTCATTTTTCGTCCTTTCGTTTTTTTTTTCGTTCGTCAACTCGAAAATATCTCGCCAGCCAGCGTGGAAAAATTATTGATCAATCGGGGTATCATGTTCCGTCGCGATATCGAAGCGATTACTCACGTTCTTCTGGTTTCGAGTACGAGACCCCGATAAATCGGCCGGTTGAAATTCTTGTTTCTTTTCTTATGCAGCATGTTCGGCAGCCGCGTGTTTATTTCATAAAACGTCACGTTAAAAATTCGAAATATTCCGTATATTCCTAAACGCTATCTTCCGTCTCTTTATTCGTTATTTATATCTCGAAAATATAATTTTAAATTCCGCGCGTTCCTTATATATTCGAAGCGAAGCGAGAGAATCTCGTCTCTTCTTCAAGAGATCGATGCATTATCTCTCTTGTTGTTATTATGTATACGCAATTTATTTTTTCCCCCAAGGACAAGGGGGATATGACGTCGAATCGATTTTCAAAAAATTTCCTCGACCTTCGACGAAACATTCGCTCTCGACATTTCTAAGCGAGAGGGCAGAATAAATAAACGATTGCGGATACGTAAAATTGTTACGTATCCGGCGATAGAACGGTTAAAAAATCGA